GGGGGCTGGCCCTGGCTCCAGCGAGCCTGCGGCTCTGAGACCCCTTTCTCCGGGCTGAGTCCATGAGCCAGACTCTGGCCCCCAGCCAGGCTCTGCCCACAGACCCACCTGCTCCACGCTGCACAGCTTCTCCACCGTCCCTTTGAAGTGCCGCATGCAGTGCTCGGCCAGGTTCAGGTGCGTGGAGTACTGCGGGGAGAGACCGGGACAGGGGGGAGTTTACTGCGGCACTGCAACACCGGCTGGTCCAGAGCACCCACACCCCCCAGCCCCCAAGGAGGGCCCCTTGGCCAGAGGAGCAGCCCCAATCAGCTGTGTAAGCCGAGTATATAGGGATTGTTTTGCCCAGCACTGAAGTGCAGCCACCTCTGGGATGGAGTGGGGCAGCTGGAGGGGAGGATCAGGAGGAGGGAGCAGCTTCGAAATCAGCCCACGGCTTCTCTGTTAGTCAGCATGAGGTTGGGGGCTTGGAGACCAGCAGGTGTCGGGGTACCTATGCCAGTGGCCAGGAGCTTTCTGTTGGCACGTGACCCAGTGGCACCAGGAGTGGCTCCAACGGGCTGGTTTGGAAGCCCACCAAGGCCCTCTCCTGAGAGCTGCAGCAGCAAGGCGTGGGCGTTACCCAAGGGCTGCCATTGCTGCGGCTAACATGGCAGCTCTGGGCACTGATTGGCAGGCTGCTGCCCATGGTGCCACACAGCACCTGGGGGGGAAATGGCTCTGCCCGACGGGACAGGTCAGAAGCTCTCATCAGGCAGTAAAGCGGAGTGCCCCAGAGTGCCCTGCCCCCCAGAGAGTCCCTACTGTCCCTCACCAGCCCCACAGAGCACCCTGCCCCCCCAGGGGGGGGGCGGGGGCGGATGGGTCCCGGCCCTGGGTGGGGCACGGAGGGGCATATCCGGGGTGATGGATGGGGCACGGAGGGGCGTGTCAGGGGCAGGGCTGAGCGCGCTCACTCGGAGACGTCAGCGATGTGCATGTGGCGTAGCTGCACCCAGAGTTCGTCATCTTCATCCAGCAGCGCCTCCTTCTCCCGCGAGTCGCTGGTGCCCGTTGTCTCGTACCTGCGGAGGGGGGATGGGGTCAGGCTGCGACACCCCTCCCCCGAGCGTGGGAGCTACAGAGCAGTGCAGGTGCCTGGGTCCACCCCCCCAGCCCGCCTGAGGAGGAGTGCGGGGCGCCCCCTGCTGGCAGCCAGGCCCTACCTGTAGGTGTTGTTCTCGATGCTGAGCAGGTCGTAGGCCATGGCCTGGAAGGTGAGCTCATGCAGCAGTGGGGACACCAGGTCGAAGCTCCGGTCCACGATCAGCAGCTGAGAGCGGGCTTTGTCGGGGCCCTGGGGCAAAGGAGAGAGAGACCCGTCACCCCCTGCTCCGGCGGATGGTTCCTGGCCTGGCTTACACGGCACAATCCAATGGGCCCTGGTGGGCCTGAAACTTCACCACCCGCCCTCTGTGCGGCCCAGCCCCCAACCCCAGGGGAAGCCCGGAGACACCCACCAAGCTAGCTGAGACGTGCCCTGGGGTCCCGCCCTGACCGGCAGGGAGAGCTCCCCACCTAGCTGCGCTGCAACGTCCCCTGCAGGGACGGGCCACCTGCCCCTCATGCAAATAGCAATGGCCACTCCCCCAAGCACGCTCTCTGCTCGTGCCTCTCCACCAACGGGAGCATGCCCCTTACAAGGCAGCCCCCCCGACTGCGCCCTGCCCCATATGCAGCGTGGGGAGGGGGGGAACTACACCAGAAGGCCCTGGCTAGTCTATCGTTAACCAACACCAGGCCCAGAGACTCTTTGATATAAGGTCCCAGAGGGGGACAATGGGACGTTATCCCTATGCCCCACCTTGCATCTGAGCTGGGACCCCATATGAGGCTTTAGCTCCCCACTCCCAGCCTGGGTGGCCCCCAGCATCCAGCTGGACAGAGACTACTCAAATGGTCAGCATCTCAGACCCACATCATGGGGGGGGCTGGCCCAGCCCCCGCTCCCTGCCTGATCAGCATGCACTGCCCTCTTGGCGCAGCAGGTGGCGATAGGAGACCAGCCCTGCGCTCCCATGGCAGACGGCTCTGAAACCGGCTCCAGCAGCTCCAGTGGAACCCAAGCCCACACAGAGCACCTCGGCAAGGGGCTGCGTCTGCTCTTCGCTGGGTAGCACAGTCAGGGGGGCCGGGGACGTACAGCCCCTGACGCTTCCCCAACTGTCCCACCTCAGTACGTGGCCCGATTTTCAGACACACTTGGTCTCCACAGCCTCTGGGTAAATGGGTTGAGGCTGATGGGGGAGCGCCTCTCTCGGAGGAGTATCTGGACCCCACCACTGTAGCACTATCATTGCTGCATCCTGCCCCCCCATGCACGTGGGGCTGGGCAGGGCTGTCACCCCATTGCAGAGGGGGATGGAGGCCCAGAGGGGCTGGGTGACTCACCCAAGGTCACACAGGAAGTCTGTGGCAGAGCAGGGACATGAACCCAGAGCTGGCGCCATCATTCCTCTCCAGCACTACCCAGCCTGGGGGGGTTGCTATGCCCAGGGCCCCTCCCGGACTCTGCTCACACCTTTGCCAGTTCAGCTCGGCTGGAGGGATCCCCGAGTGCAGATGGGGGCTGGCGTAACCACCAGGTCACCCCCCAGAACAGAGGGGCGCTTAGTGCACTGGTGAGTGCCACAGCACTGCCTGGGCCAGCTACCCCTCAGGGCTGGCAGCTGGGAAACATCAAGGCAAGAGAAACTAGTGCAGACAAGGCCCCAGGGCGCCGTGACTGTGGGCTGGGTGGCTTTGGAGACCTGACTGCTAGAGGCCATGCTACAAGAGTCCCTGGGGTTCTGCGGCAGCTGGCAAGGCGGGGGCACACTGGACTGGCCAGCCGGGATTGTGCAGCATGGAGCCAGCACTGCATTGAGAGCAGGGGCTTGAGTCAGCACTCCCGGCCCTGCGGTGGGCGTGCTGTCTGGACTCCTGGCTCCTATTCCTGCCTTTGCCACCTACTCGTGGCACGCTGCTCCATGCCTCAGTTTCCCCCGTGTAACATAGGGATAGTGCTGACACCTGTGACAGGGAGGCTTGGCAAGAGTCTCAGGAATATCCCTGGGGGGGCTCAGAGGAGCAGGGTGTGCTCGGAGCAGGACTTTGCCCTCCCCAGCGCCGCTCTCTGACCTGTGCAGGGTTGTGTCTGTGTGTGTGTGGCGGGGGGGTTGGCTGCTCTCTGTGCAGGGCTGTGTGTGTGCGCATGGGGGGGAGGGTTGACCTGTGCCTGTGCAAGGGTGTGTGGGGGGGGGTTTGGTTGCTTTCTGTGCAGGGCAATGTGTGTGTGTGGGGCGGGGAGGGGTGACCTGTACATAAAAGGCTGTTACCAGGAGGAGGGAGATAAATTGTTCTCTTTAACCTCTGAGGATAAAGACGCCATGGGCTTAAATTGCAGCAAGGGCAGTTTAAGTTGGACATTAGGAAAATCTTCCTATCAGGGTGGTGAAGCACTGGAATAAATTGCCTAGGGAGGTTGAGGAATCTCCATCATTGGAGGTTTTTAAGAGCAGGTTGGACAAACACCTGTCAGGGGTGGTAGATAATGCTCAGTCCTGCCATGAGTGCAGGGGACTGGGCTAGATGATCTCCCGAGGTCCCTTCCAATTCTATGATTGGGGGAGTCGGGAGAGAGGCTGCTTTGCAATGGCAGCACCAACTGGCGATTGCTCTTTGGCCAGTGGTAGCACTCACAGCCACTTGGAGATCAGGCCTTATGGCGCCGGGCCCTGCACAAGCACAGAACGAAGACGCTCCTTGTGCCAAGGAGTTGGGGCGCTGTCCCAGTGGCGGGGGTCCCTGGGCGTGCTGTGGAGTGAGGGGGGTTTCCTCATTAGTGTGAGGCGCTTCCTCCCTAGGTCGAGTCCAGTGAGGTGATGCTGTCAAGTGTTTCCAGCAGGAGCACGCTCAGGGCTCTGTGGCTCAGAAGACCACAGAGCTGTTCCCTGTAGAGCTCTGATGGCCAGGCTGTGCGCTCTGAGCTGCTTTGGGGCTCTTTCCGGAAGGCCGTGGTCTGTTTCCCCTGCAGGGCCTGTGTACGCAGTCTGCTCTGGAAAGCGCAGGAGTCTCTGCCACCCCCTTGTGACCGAGGGGATCGCTGGCTCTCTGCCCCATGCAGTGGGGTCCCCGGTGGGGCCGTTGGCTCACGGGATGTGGGCTGAGGTAACTGGCACTTCCTGGGCTTGCTCCTTTGCATGGAGTTGGTGTTCACCACACAGGGTGGCATTAGCCAGGCCAGCTGTTTCCCACCAGTCCCGTTCAGAGGCTCAGTCCTGGCGCTGCACCGAGCCAGTTTGGTTCAAGTCTGAAGCTGGCAGGAGGCTTTTAAACCCCTGTGTTAGTGAGCGGCTGTGGGGCCACACTTGCACTATGGCTCGGGGAGCCCGTGGGGTCGTCTCCCCTCCACTCTGATTGTTTGTCTGAATTGACCCTCCTGTGTTTCCAGGGGCATTTCCTGGCTATCCTGTCCCTGCCAGCCCAGAGTGGCAGATGAACGCCAAGCTGGGCGGGTATTTACCTGGATCCTACCTGTTCTGTTCTCACCCAGCAGGGCCCCAATCCCAATACTGGATGGAACGAGGGGAAGAGCTGCAAGTCCCAGATCTCAGCAAAGGTGAGGATGATGAGAGCTGGCCGGGCCCCCAAACAGATGAGGGATAAATAAGCCCAGCTGAGAGGGGTGGGGGCAGCTGGGACCCACTGCCACCCCTGCAAGCCCTCCTGGCCCAGCTCCTCTCAGAGGTTGTCACCACCCTCTCCCTGATCTGTGTGCACCACTGCACCCATCCCACCACCTGCGCCAGGCCCCCAGAACCATATGAGAGCCATGTCTTGGCTCTCACTGAAAAAGCAAATAATATTTCCAGCCCACACAGAGGCAAAGAAAAGCTTGTGAACGTGAGCTGGGTGGTGCTGACACCTGCCTGATTCTGCAGCAGACTGAAAAAGCTGCAAGAGGTGTGACCACCTCCTTCAATCCCACCTCGGAAACCGGCTCCAGGGAGGGGCGGGGCCATTTGAGTGGTGCCTCGGACTCTGACTGCCATAGTTGGGGCCCTGTCCTAGTCGGCCTCCTGTGGGGACGGCTCATGCCTGATTGCCCATTTGTTCCTGCAGGTGAGAGGCTGGCGAGCGTGACTGGGGCAGAGGATGCTGCACCGGGAAGGGGCGGCACCAGCACTGATGTGGAGCTGGTGGGAGTGTGGCACAAAGACCCTGCTGCGGGGGCAGAGGAAGTTGTGCGAGGAGGCAGTGCCAGGGTGGAGGAGGCTGTACCAGGAGGTAGCGCTGATGCAGAGCCGGCGCGGCACAGAGGCCCCACCATCAGGTGGCCCTTTAAATGCAGTGAGTGTGGGAAGAGCTTCCAGCAGAGTGCCCACCTGGCACAGCACCAGCAGGGTGCCCACGCCAGCCAGCGCCCCCATGCCTGCGCTCACTGCGGCAAGAGCTTCGGGCTGCGCTCCATGCTGGCACGGCACTTGCAGACACACAGTGTCGAACGCCCCCACGCCATGTCCTGACTGCCCCCGCCGCTTCCGCCAGCGAGCCCACCTGCTACGGCTCCGGCTAGCGCACACAGGTGAACGCCCCTTCCCCTGCCCGGTCTGCGGCAAAGCCTTTGCCCTGAGTGCCATGTTGCTGCGGCACCAGCTGGTGCACGTGGGCGAGCACCCCTACCGTTGTGGGGAGTGTGGGCGCAGCTATACACAGAGCTCCTACCTGCGCCAGCACCAGCGCAG